GGGCCTATGGGTAGCGTTACATCTACTTGAACTAAAACCCACTGGAAAATTACTTATGTAGGACAAAATAGCAGCCTTCCGGTACCTGTGAGGTGGCTATGAAAAAGCTCAAACCAGACTCACTGCTGTGGTGAGTCAACAAGTATAAATTGAAATGTGAAGTATGGCTGCATACAAGGGCACAATTTCACCATGAGGACAGTCAAGCACTGGAACAGCTCAGTTGCCCAGAGAGGCTCTATAGTCTCATACAACTTCTGTGGCTGTATGTAATTGATACAATGGGATCAGAAACAAGTTACACTGAAGGCTGTAACAAGTCTGTGAAACAGAGACGTGCTTGTGAAGTATTGCAATTGCAGATGATTATATTGTACACAGCGTAATTAAGATTTGGTTTTCCTCCTTTCTGCCCTCATGCGTGATTGCAACTGGATCACAGTTCTAGTGGTATGAAAACTTGAGAGAGATATCAGAACAGATTTGTGGCATGGCCAGACCACAGTGGGTTAGGATACATTGTTATTGGGACAATAATGTGCTGTCTCTGCAGTGTACCTCTCTGTCATCCTCTGCGTATCCTCTAGCTGCATGCAGAAGACAAGTAAAATTGAGATATGTACCAATTTCAGCTAAATTAGTCTGTTCCCTAGAACCAGTAGTTCAAATCAAGCCTCTTTTCTTTGCTTACCTTACTGTTGTTTCCTTCACACTTTAATTTACTGTTTGTCTGTACTTACTTTTTATCTGCCTGTTGGTACTGAGCTTCCTTTAAAGAGTATTTTCACCCCCTCATTTGTCAAAGATTTTCATTCTTTGTCTTTAAATTGATCCTTTTGAATACTTCTTCCATCATTTCACTTTGAAGATGTTTTTCCAGTCTTTATTGTGTTTAGATGACTGAACTGTGGGAGCTTTAAGCTGAGGTATGTGAAATATTTTGTGTGCTCTAGGTAGTATATGGACTTTGCTTGAATTAGTCATGAAGAACTCAAAAATTTACCTGTGTTAGGGTGTCAGTTTGCCCAATCTCTTTCTTCCTAAAGATGCCTTTAACAACAGAAGGAAAAAGTGATATATACTTTAATTGCAACTATGCCTCAGGGTTTTTTTTTGTTTGTTTGTTTGTTTGTTAATTTAAAGAATTATATGATACTGGGCCCTCATCCATTTATGTTTGAACATTACAAATGGACTTCACAGTCCAAGTTACTGCTATATTAGAAGAGATTCTCCAGTACACTCGCTGTTGCTCACACCACTAACGCTTCATCTCTTCTGAGCTCTTTACCTCTGCTTGAGAAACACAAATATGTATAGCTCATTTGGAAAACTGAATAGCAGCAGTGTGGAATACCTCATCACTGTTTCTTCAATGCTTCACCTGAACTTCATGCCAGTTCTGGGTGAGCAGTTCAATTCACAAAACTGAAATTTCTCTTCTTGCATTGCCCCAGGGGAAACTGCCTGCTAGGGAGCTGTGGCGAGGTGTCTGCCAACACACATTGAAATAAAATGTGGTGGAGTGTTTCTGGTTGCTTTTACTCTGCAGAGGCTGTAGTTCTTCACAATCTATAGTCTTGGATTCTGTGATCCATCTGTGCTTTCCTCGGGTTCCAGCTTCAGGGAGAAAGAGGATCGTGTCCTTCTCAGGCACTCTTGTTCCATTATGTTTGTGTGTTCTGGATAGGGACTGTTGAATGGGAAGCTATTGAGTCCTGTGGTATTAGGCCGTGTGTTTCAGATTTGCCCTGCATCCCTGTTCACATTCACATATGTGTAGTTTCATAGCATTTTTTTAGACAGAACTATCTACTGTAGTCCTGAAAAATTTATTTCAGTAAAGTCCAGTTCATAAAATCTCCTTATAGGAAACTTCAAACAGCAAATTGACCCCTTTAAAAGCATCTGCTGTAACTTATTAGATGTAAAGAATAGCTGAAACCTCTTTCTGGTATGAAAAAGGACATATTTCCTGTTATTGACTTAATGAAAATTAGGAATGTTTTATGTTTTCTAAAAGAAACTTCAGTGAGTGGGATGAAATTATTCCAAGCAAAAGCTACAAAGTACAGGATTCATAAAAGATCAGTAATTTAACTTGTGTATTCCCTCAATTCGCTTAGTGCTCAAAGAACAAGCATTTTAATTTTCTGAAAGGCAAAGTAAAAATGTGTGTTGAAACACTAATTCAAAGTGCCAAGCTTACTTGGTAGAAACTGTTGAGACATGAGGACAGTGCTATTTATTGCTGGTTTAATGGAACTTGATTTATTGTCCAGAATTTAGATTTGAAAGTCTGCACACCAGCACATGCATCAGTATGTTCATGGTATATTCAGTTGTGTGGGCCATGTGAACTGCAGGTTATACCAGAAACTCCCAATCTAAGGTCTTAACTCTTTGTATAAACTTATATATTAGATCAAGTATTTTGCTGGTGAAGTATCTTTCTGAGCAATGCTGTGTGTTCCTGTAAGACTCTTGTTGCATTTAGTGAAATTCAGCTTGCCTGATGAACTTGATGATTGTACTGTAGTGCCTTTTTTGTATTACACAGAACTTCTACAAAAAAAAACAGGTACTGAATAATTTTATTGCCCTTTCAGTGACAGCTCACCATTTTTGTCTAGCATCCAGACTTGACAGAGTTCTTAAGAAATACCAACAGACATTTTTGTCCTGAACAGCTAGTTAGAGACTAACTTACCAAATTTTTTACCCTGCCTGTTTTTCCATGTAACTTTGGATCTGTAGAGGTTTAAGTCTCTATTTTCCTAAAAGAAGCAGGGAATGAATTTTATTTTTCTTTTTATTTAATCGTTTGTTCAGGTTCAGTGTTTCTCAATCTCATTTTCACAATCTCTTTGGATCACAAAAGTAACTGTTACTTTGATAGAACATTCTTTTTCAGTTTTGTGGTCTTAATATATACTTTTGTGCACAAGTTTACTAAAGGTCAGAAAATGTCTAATTTTAAATGACCTCGTTTTAAAAAGGCAGTAGATCCACAAGCACTAAAATATGACTATTTTCTTTTATGTAGGTAAGGTTTTCTTCTTAAGTAATGTTCAAATCACAAGTCTTCCACTAGCCATTAACTTATTTATAGCTCTATCTTTCTTTTATATAGAAAATTTTCCTTTGACTGATTTGGAAATGTGACTTGCAAGATCAAAGTTCAGATCCTTTTTCTTCCTACTTACTTAACTGCATTGTCACTCATCTCTCTTATCCCAGTAGTGTAGTCCTTCCTTTTCAGGTTTTTTCACTCTAATTTTTTTTTTTTTAATTTCTACATGCACAATTCAGATTTCTTCTGCTTAAAGAAATCAGGATTTCTAACGCTTCACTAACAAGAAGGAACCTGACATTAAGACTGGAGAATTATGTATATGTAGAACTCAAAAAGCTGACTGTTTGCTAATGGTTTGAAGTGTGTAAGCAGATATTTCTAAGACTATTTTACTCTCATCAGTAATCACATTGAGCTTTAAGGGAACAATAACTAAGTTAACTAAACCATGGAGCTATGTAAAATTGGATTTTTGAATGTCCACGTGTGTCTATGTGGGAAGTCACAAAAAAACCCTTTATATGGAACAATGTTTATACCAAATGAGCCCTGAGAGGCTAAATAGACTTAATTATTTAAATTCAGTCCTAAGACTAACAAACAGGAAAATCTGAACCTGTATGAAATCCTAAAACTTAATTTTGCAAAACTGCTGCCCAACGTACTTTTTCACCTTGTGGAATGTCTTGGTAGGAGTCTATCGATGTATGTAGTTTAACCACTGGATAATATATATCTGTATATCTATATATACATATCTATCTATATGTATCTCAGATAATCCCATGCAGTCTGGTGTCTAGGAATGCCTTGAATTATTGTATTGACAAGCATCACGCATTGCAAACTGTGACTTGTGATAAGGTTTGTGGAACAAAACAGCTTTTTCCAGTAGGTTGCTTTGCTTGAATGGCAGGTGGCATGTGTGGAGCATTGCTTAAAAACAACCAAAAACCTACTTTGAGCTTGACTTCTCGACTGGTATGACTGTAAGCTCCAGGGCTGTCACTTACACACATCAGAAATAATAATCTGCATTGTATGCTGAAAAAAGAGATCATGAAAATAAAATATATTTGTCTTGGCCAGTAGTTGTTCTGTTGTTTGTGGCTGTAATACAGTGGGCTTTGATCTTGTCACCTCAGTTTAAGCAGCTGTGACCCTGGTCAGCATGCTCAGTGAGAAACTTCACAGACAAATGGGTACCTTCCAGATTTCTGTTGCAGTTTTTCATTTCTACACTGTCTTATTTACAACTAATCATGTTATATTTTTTTAATCTAACTTCCTCAAAATTCCTATATTTACAGATATAGAGAAAAAACGCATTAAAAAACCAAACAAAAACCCCTGCAAAACACCCCCCAAAACGCTGTAATGCCAAATATAAACTGTGACATCTTGATTTTTCTGGATTTGATTTGACCAGGATTTCTGTAACATCTTCCTTTGCTTTTTTATTTAAATAAATAAATTATATGGATCTTTAGACATAACGTTATCTTGTTACTTTAAGTGTATACGTTTCATTCATGTTCCCTCAAACTTCTTCCTGGTCACAAAATGTCTGTCTACTTGATTATACTGAGAGGAACAGAGTTGGTGGGGAATTAAAGTTACACTGCTGACTTTGTACTTTTAGCTTTCAGGTTGTTTATGCAGGATAGAGTTCTGACTTAGTGATTGGTTCACACTGCAGAGATTCAAAACCTTTCATAAAATAGGTAACATGGTCTGTAGGGGGAAACCAGAAAATGTAATTAGTCCATGGTAAATTTACTGCTGGACCATGTCTCCGCTAATGGACCTTTCTGGTCTTTAAAATCAGCTTGTTACATCACTGGGATGCCTACTCAAAGTGGTTGCATTGCATTGCTCTGTAGCATTTGTAATTTAACACAACTATTTCTTTTTCTTTCTAAAGGCGCCTAAACAGAAATAACCTCCAGTTGCTTTCTGAACTGCTCTTTCTGGGGACGCCGAAGTTATACAGGCTGTAAGTAGGCATAGCCCAATAACTATTATTTGGGAAAATTTGGATTTGATCTGTTATTCTGTCTTGCATTAAGTTTTTTGGGTTTTTTGCCTCAAACAGGGCTAAAATGCATTTTGGAATATTGGTGTTTTGTTAAAGCTGAGTACTGCTTTGCAAGACTTGTTTATATTTTATTTTACTTCTGGATCAGATACTGATAGTTGTATGAGGCAAAGTATTCTGTTATTGATTCCCACTTCTTTAAAGAAGTTTTGTTGAAAGAATACTTTCCTTTTCTCCTGTTTTTTATTTGTTTGGTTTTGGTTTTTTTTGTTGTTCATGTGTTAAAAGAAACAAAAAATGCCTGTGGTAATTCTAACCCAGAGATGCAGCACTGTATAAGCATTTTGGTTTTATGATGTTCTGCTTTTGTGGCTGTACACACTTACCAGAAAAATTATAGCATTGCCAAATGCTAGGTCTATGGAGAACTCTCTCCTATGTCCCCTCTCAAAGAAAACAAAGGTAGTAACTTGAGCTCTGAGAAGAAAAAACTATGAAATGCTTTACCTTAAATAGAAATAACATCAAGTTGGGTAATGGCTTCTTTTGTTTTGATTGTATTCTTTGGTTTGATAATGTTTTGGCAATATTTTTAAAAAAATATTTCGGCCCATTGTCCTTTCGAAGAAGTCACTTAATTCTGTTGCAGTAGAAATGTGGAATAAAGTTTGGATTCTGGTTTATTTTAACTGAATAAATGTTAAGGTACTTTTAAGTTACATTATGTGGTATTGAAGGGACATACTTAAGTAGGCTTTTGTACAAATTCAGCCCTGATGTAATTAGATGCGTGTTTGACACGTTTCTTTAAACTTCAGGTGAGATTTCTGCTGTTGAAATTCCAAGCATCCCTTGGGTGCTTGGAAAAAGAGAAGTGAAGGTGGAGGAAATTGGGATTCCTCTTATTTGTTTCCACTTTAGTATATGGAAATATGTTTGAAAAAAAAGGTATAATGAAGCTTTTACTTTTTGGAGTTGATTTTTGTTTTAATGTTGTGAAACAATAGTTCTTTTCTCCCTTCTCATAGCAACATAAAATGGTGAACTGGAAATTACTCTTTTGATAATAAGCATTTAGTTCTGCATATTTTGTTTCATTCCTTTGCTTTGGATGTATGCTTTGCTTCCAAACTTCACTGTAGATTCAATGAGTTGCTAAATGACTAGGCCAGAAAGCTGCTGAAGGCATTTATCCTGACAAACAAAAATATTTTGCTGTGCTATAACATTATAATATATTCCTATGTGGTATTATGTATTAACAATTGAGTCTCTTATAATTTCCATCAACCATGATAAAGACATTACTTCCATCAGAAAGGAATATGAAAGAGATTTATGATAATTTTGTTATTTCACCTATAGTGTAAAGGTTGTTATCTAGATTCATATAAAGTAGCAATGAGCCATAATTTAGAGGCAAAAAATGGATGCACACTTCAGGCAAAATTATATTTTAATATATTTATTTCAGAATTGTTTATTTGATAGATGCTAGTCTTAAATCTATAATATCCTTTGACATAAAGCACACAACTGCTCATAGTGTATATGGTGGAAAGTAAGAGATCCCTGGCTTCACAGTATTAAATTTCCTCTGCCTAAGGGTTATTGTTGATCAGACCATGAAAGTGAATGTCTGGTTATAATGTATTCATGTTTAAAAGAAAATATGAATTAAACTGAAAATCTACAGCTGCTTAGCACTAAATTTGTAATTGAAAAAATGTCAGGCCAACAAAGGTATTGATGCTAGCTAAAAGTTCTTGGTCAGTTTTCAGATAATATATAGCTTGATCACTTTAAAGAGTATGAAATTATTTTGGTTTTTACATGTATCATTGTATATGCTTAGATGTATTTACATCCAAATAAATATTTTTCTGAGGAGAGTTAAAGTTCTCTAAACATGATCAGTAAAATGTATACAATGCTTTGGATTTAGTATTTATTTTTGGCATTTAACAGCTAATCAAACAATGTGTGTACTGCGAGGTTTCAACATACTGTTGAGCTTCTGTGAATAATAATTACCATTTGACCCTCGGCTGTAAATGAGATGCCAGGTGAAGAAGCACATATGCTTGTTGTGTAGCCTAAATGCAATATAAAAGAAAGAGGGTACCCTATATATGAATTATGATTTGACACAGTTGGTTGCCGCCAGCGGCCGGCTATGCTTTCCCTTTGCTGTCTGCTCCAATTTCTCTTTGGACGGGCTGAGAGAGCACTGCGTGTTCAGGTCAAGATGTTTGCCTAGAAATAGTAGTACAGTTGCAGCTGTGTTTGCTGGAGCAGGAGACTAGTTTAAATAGCATTACCATTTATCCAGTCCATTAACAGAACTCTGTAAAATAATACCAACTCTGCATAAACTACAGGACAGTGTAATAAAATTACAAGCACTTGTTGACAGATGGGAAGTGTAAGTAAAGGAAAGCGATAGGTTGAGAGTTTAAAAGAGACAGTGCATTATTTTCTGTATCTGAAGACACTTATTTTCAAAGGTAGTTAAACAAAATATTTCTCAGGCTACCTTCTTTCCAGTTTATCAGTCTTCCAAGAAATCTCCTGGAACTAGTTAAAATGGATAATTTTAGTCAAAACAGAAACTGATTTGCCCATTAAGAGTTATCTGCAGAGGTGTCTTGACATAAATAGTTCGGCAGGAAGTAGTTAATGCTAAAAAATAGTATGAAGAGGGCTGTAGGTTATATTAATCTTACCTTACAAGGAATCTCTCAAAGCACAATTTACATGAACCTCTGTTTTGATGCAATACTGTTAAAATAAAGGTGCCATTGTAAATCCCCTGGGGAAATACAAGTTCTTGTTCAACAAGAACTGCAGGAAGGAGATATGTTGTTTTTGGTGACCGGTATGTCCACTAAGATGTCTAATGTCAGCAATGGTACCTTAGTACAGAGAACTACTACAGCCTAGTGAGTGCTTATCTGAGGCAAATAGATTTTGACTGCTTACTTTGGCTGGTTAGATCACAGTTCATTGATTGCTGTTTGCTGCAGGATACCAAGTGCTGGACCCAAGCTGTTTGAAAAATCAGTTTTAAAAGATACCTTTATTAATCAGTGGCATGTAAAAGTTATTGAATTCCATGCACAAAGCTTGTCCCTTTCCATTTACATTTCTTATGCTTGGAATGATGGTTAAGTTTCCCTACTGACCAATATTTGTTGTATAATTTAGGCAGTATTGGCTTGGGAAAAAACAGCAATCTTTGTAGTGGGTGTGGTCTGATATAAGATAATTTTTTCTTCTCATATGTGTACTTGAAGGTCCACACTATCAATGTTTCTCCTCTAAAGGAAAAAATCTTAATGTAGTCTAATTAATAAAAATCACTTTTGAGATGTCTATTAGTGACTTTAATTATTCACTGCAAGAATTTTTTTTTAAGGGAGAAAGTATTAAACATCAAGAAAGCCTTTAAAAAATTGTCTTAGGCCAGAACAGCAGCAGCAACAACAACAAAACATGCTGTATGGGGGGCCCTTGCAAAAATTCCTCCTGAATTAATTTCTGCCAGCTATGATTAAAGTGTGTGGTACTAGATGTGTCAGACACCATAGTTCTCTGCTTCATTTTACTCTTGGCCTCTTTGGCCCCTGCCACAATAAATCCCACAATGGTTAGTCAGGAATTGCAGGTTACAGTTGCCAGGGTTACCGTTGTCCGGCCGGACCGACATCATTACTCATCCCGGCCGGCAGCCCCAGCGCTGCGGCCGCTCCCGGCGCCAGGAGCCGGCGGTCGAGGGAACTTCTCCCGGCGGCTCTCCGTGCTGGTGCTGGAGCGGTTTGCAGAAGAACCTGCCGTTTGCATCACTTGCTGAGCGTAATTTTGCTTTTACCTTTGCCAGAAGGAAAAAGACCCCAAAACCAACAACACCACAACCCTTCCCCTCCTCCCCCCCCACCACGGAAAAACCTGAAAAAAACCCACCCAAAAAAACAACCAAACAAAAAAAGGGAACCAACAAAACCCTAAACGAACACACAAACAAAAAAAGTCCTTCTTCAGATAGAAAGCAAAGAAAGACGATAAGGTGCATGTAAGCTGCTAGAACAGGGACTTTTAAAATATTTTTAGGTGCTGGGCTCTCTATTGTTAAGGTACCTGCATTTGACGTGTAATTTATGGTTTTGTCTTATTCCATTTAACAGTAATCATGGCAAGTGAGATTACGATCATAATTTTGTAGAAAAGATATTTATCTTCAGTCTGAATCTGTTTTACCAACTCAATAGAGAAATCACTCATTAGAAAAATGCTCTTTATCCCAAAGGCTTTGAAATATTCCCACTGCAAACAGGTGGCTCTGGATGTTAAATCCAGTGAGGAGCATAAATGCGTTTCCCCTTTCCAAAAGGCAGTATCGATAAATTTCTCTCCTTTTGTAAGTAGACTGTTAATGGAACTGTTGTTGAGTAAGCGCAGTGGGTCAGTTTCCAGTGCTGTATGTGTAATAGTAACATAGTGTGCTCCACTTTATTGCAGGAGTGGGATGGATGGACAGCAATTTAACAAAGATTTTTTTGAATATGAGTTATGAAGCCACCTTGTTGCTATATCCTCCCCAGGATAGTGAGTTCCTTCAGTCATATGTTCGAGTTTTTATGATTTGCTATGGGGTATTCTAGCAGCATGCATACTAGGCAGCATGCATATAAGGCGGATCCATTTTTTCTTGGTGTGATAGAATTGAATCTTACTCTTTTAAAGCTAAATAGAAACAAATGAGTCTTGGGTACATGATGTCCATCCTGCTAGTTTTTTGACTTGTAATTTTTTACCACTGTGGCTTAGTTCAAATACAAGAATGTTTAAATTGTTTTATCTAAACAATTTAGTTGGTAAGTATATACCAATTCAAATACTAGTTTTTAATTATTAGCATTATTTTATTAGTGTCGCTTTTGAACTGCAGCTGTAGTTCT